TTGCTTTAAATCTATAAAAATAAACATATTATTTTAAAATTCCTTATAGTGTCACTGAACTACGAGAAACTTCATCACCACTTAACAACACCAGGTCAAGCACTGGCTAATAATAAATATATAATACTAGCGAAGACAAACAAGCCCTATGTTTAAAACAATGATTAAAAACCGACAGTGTAGAAAAGTTTACTGAAAAGAGAAACATTTAATACACTATGTCACTTCCACAACTAAGACACCCACATCACAGAATAAATAAAATAGTAATGTTTAGACTACGGAGCGTTCCAAAGAAATAGATACAAAGGTACATGCATATTGCATACACTCGAAAAACATTACCCTTTTTGGGAAGTCGAATAATTTTTTTTAAATGTAAATATAATATAGCAAGAAAAAATAAGTACTACCCGTGCGGTTAAAGAATGGAATTGAAATGGCGTCACCTCTTCAAATATTCACCTCTCGCTCGCACACTGTCGCTATCTATACTCACACCCGGCGGTAAAGACTGAAAAAAAAATTTTATGATATGCGTTTTTCTGTACGTTCTATAAGTTCAGTTCAACTCGTCATTGGAATCAATGATAACAAATTCACATAAACTACAAAAATCCGGTTGTGATAATTTGTGACCTACGGTGCGTTCTGAGAGTTTTTTTTTTTTTCATAATTATTGTTGATTTGGTTTGTTAATATTTTTGTATAAAATATTTAGATGCCATTAAGACATGAGTTAGCACTTTTTAAATTTTGGTTTATCTATCTGTCCGAGAGTAATGGCGGAACCGATTGTAACAAAACTTCACGGAAAATAGAGTGTAATGCCAGGAGTGATCTAGACTTATTGAAATAGAAATATTGATAAGATAAAATAAATGGTCTTTAATGGACTATCTTAAGTCCAAATAACGCCAAATTAATAGATCCCACCTAAGCGAAAGACAGACAGACAGAGCGGGTCGCTAGTTATAAATTTTATTTTAAAATTAATGTACTTACTTGGGTATACAATTTTTTCAAATATTTTCCCATTAATAGAAAATTTCCAGTTAACCGTTAATATAACGTTATAACGATATGCCGTTATTAGCGGGTTTTCGCTATTGGTACTGTGCATGTTGACGGTACTGGCTCGATGAGCCGACATTTCTAATCCCATTCTTTATCCGGTACGGACTGTATTATGAAATTGACGACTGCTTGGATAAGGCCAATAGTACAAGTAATATAAATGCAATTCGTTTTATACTTGTGATCGGTTGTTATACTAATATATTGTATTATCATTGTAATATGTTTTTTTTTTTATATAGGATTAAGGTGACAAACGAGCACACAGTCCACCTGATGGTAAGTGGTTGCTGCGGCCCATAGACATCTACATCTATCTTCGTTTGCGAATCAAAATGCAGATGCGTTACCACCCGTGAGGACTAAGATGGAATGCCTCATTTCCAGTAAAAAGGGCCTCCGGCCACCTGCACTCACCAAGCGAAACGCAGAGGTAAACCTCTACTTGACGCTGGTATTCTGTGAGGTCGTGGTACCACCCCGGTTCGAGCCGGCCCATCCGTGCGACAGCAAAAGCTGCCGCGTGGCTCTACCACTGTTGAAAATCATATCATATCATATCATTTACTGATAGATACAGATGATAACTCGGCGTTAAAGATTTTAGGTTGAAAGCAACCGTTATGGTTGAGTGCGTAATGACCACTGTCCTTTATTGTTAACTTGCTAATCAATATAATGTTAAATAACATCTAATAAGAAACCGCCACACCTAGTGCATTGACACATTGACTCGTACAACCGCCATAATATTATTCCCTAAAGACATACAGGGTTATTATCAATGACCCCAGTTTCGTGTCGGTTCTTTGTAGAGATGGTAGATTTTAAAGTACTTAAAATTTATAAAAAATAAACTTTTTTGTACTAATTATTGTATTATAAAGTTATAGTATCCAGTTAATAGATTACCAGTCGGTTTCCCATTGTTCAAACAATAACTGATATGCAGCATTCACTTAATATTTAATTGGCTTATAGCTTATACATACTGATTATTATTTATACTTTATTATTTTTAGTAAAATGAAGAGGCACTTGTGGGCAGTGTTAGTTAGCAGTGTGTAGTTTCATTTAATTCGCAACTGTCAATACAGCTGATAATAACTGCTTTAGTTGTTGTTCTGAGGTTAACACAGATACCCGACAGCATGTTCACTCAGAATCGATCGATAACCGTGCGATATTGACCCTGACAATGTCCTTCGGTAAGTGCATTAGGTAAAAGTAATTCGGTCGGTAAGTGCATTGGGTAATTAAAAAAAAAACAAAGAACATTTATTTTATTGATTTTTTTGTCTTTTTCTCAAATAAAATCTCCAATTTTTTAGATAAAATACAGTCCTAAATTATTTTGATATTACTCTCTACTCTCTATCGGTTCGTGAAGTTCCATTACAATCAGTTCATTCATTCCGAAAATTAGCCTAGGCAGACAAACAGACAGACAGACAGACAGGCGGACAAACATTTTAAAAATGGTTATTATATTTTAATGCCATGGAAATAACCCTCTCAGCTCAATATAAAGCAGTTACTCCGATGACATAGATGAACACTTCAATTTTATTTATATGTGTAGAGTATATAATAGATAAAGAAAAACGTCAATATAATAAATAGCGATTAATATATACAAATCAGCTGTGAGGCAGCGAGGAGCCCTAGGGTCTCTCCTCGAAACGCAATGTTTTCCGATCCCGTACGTACATTTATGAAAACTGAACTGTGCTAAATTAAAAAAGTTATAAAAAATAGATTATACAAAATATAGATTTTTCGCTGTTTCGGTGATCGGTACGCTTTATGGTATTTTGATTTTACAGCTGCAAATTTTTTACAGTTTTACTGTATTACTATTTAAATATTATTCATGTTTCTCCATGATAAAACAAACGGTATAAGAAATTTGTTTTAATGGGACTGTCACAATATGGAAGACGTGTATACTTTTAAGCCTTCCGTTTAGGGTTACTTCTATTTGTTTAGGCTCATCTTTGGACAATTGTTGATCTTTTGGTATATGATATATATATGCCCTAAATAGATAATTTGTTTACTTCTCAATTCTAAGTCTGATGTGACGTTTTTCTTAAAAAAAAAATTGCTGTGACAAACAAACTACTCGTAATAGTGTAACAAGCTGATAGTAAATCGCTACTGTACTAAGACTTACTAATTTTCAAAAAACACAGTTTAATTAATAGAATCAGGCGTTACTTTGCGGAAATCCATTATAATGGGGTTGTTATAAACTGATTTGCTTAATTCCGCGTAAAGAAAGAAAATAATGTGTCCTGTCCAGTTTTAAGGGGACCTCCCACCCTCCCTCAATCGCGCGCACTATACTACTTAGCGGCCAGCCTCAGCGGAGTCTACTTCACCTGAGGATGCCTCGTGTAGAGGCGAAACACGTGTCGTATTTTCGAGAGTGGTGTGTCGTGCCTAGTGTGGTGGTGCTGGGGATGGTAGTGCTGGGATTGACGGCCACGGCTATAGTGCGCGCGATTGAGGGAGGGTGGGAGGTCTGGGCAGGACACATCATTTTCTTTCTTTACGCGGAATTAAGCAAATTAGTTTTTAACAACCCCATTACAAACACAGTTTTTATTAATAAAGAAACTTGCCTTGGAAAATTTGTGATTTTTTCCTTGTGCGACTTCATTACTTATAGCAGGTCATTAATAATGTTTTTGATTTATAATTTCTTCAGATATATAATCCTTAAATATTCGGCAATGAAATCAGTAACCCTGATTATGTGTCAAGGTTAGAAGCTTGCGTATTCGTGAGTAAAGGTCGCGCTATAGCCTTTGCCTATGGGGTGTGTACACTGTACACTAATTATCTTAACAATACATATTCAGTGATTTGTAGTTTAGTATTTTTTTTTTGTTTTTGTTTTTTTTATAGGGGAGGGAGTAAACGAGCATAAGGGATTATTGCATCCCTTTGCATTTTACAATCCTTTACAAGTCCACTGCTGAACGGCTTAGGCCTCCCCAAGGAATATTACAAAGCACGGTCCTGAGCCACCTGCATCCATTTATGCTACAACTATATTACAGCTGCAGCATGGCTCTACCACTTTTGTTATTTACTATTTTAATATCTTTGATTATGCCAAATATCATCATCATAATCATTATCATTACGGCCCTTCACAAATACACTGCTGAACAAAAGCTCCCAACAAAAGTGACTATGCCAAATATAATCAAAGATTATTGTTTTGATAAATTTAAATATAGGTTCATGACAGATTGATACGATTAGATTTCATTATTCCGTATGTCATTGTCATGCGGCACTTTCCTTCTTTGCAAAACGTGGTTTATTAAGTATTATTTGAGAGCGTGGTCATCCCCGATTGTGCTCTCATTCATGCCGCAACTGTAATATAGCTGCAGTATGGCTTTACCAACGTATAAAATTTTCATAGCCGCATTTATTACCAAAGTCACCACATACGTCACTTACGGGACGAAATGAGGTCACTATATATATATATACAATATCCTATAAAAAAAAATAAGTAACGCCAGTAATAGATTACTTAAGTTTATTTTAAATCTAAGTAACGTCAGTAATTTATTACTGACGATACTTAGATTTAAAATAATGAAACCTACCCAGGCAAAGCCAGCGCTGGTCGCTAAAATAATTATAAAAATATGTGTGTGTGTGTATGTACAAACTAACATATTTATATTCTATATAAATATGTTAAGTTGTAAATAAGCTAGTTTTTTTCTGCTGCGGCTCCACCCATGGCTCTTACTACTCTACCAAAAGTTAGCTGGCAGAGAATGCCTTTTCGGTATTAAGTTTGCCTTTGTACCAAATTGTTTTGAGTGTATTAAAGAATTGTCTATCTAAATATCTATCGTATTCGAATAATTGACTTCATTCTTCTGTTACAGCGCGAGCCGCACCTGCCCAGCGGAAGGGGCGGCTGAACAAGAGACTGCCACCCCCACCACCGTTGACCTGCCGCGCACCAATGACGGCGAGATCGACTACGATGGTGAGTAAATACTAAATTCACCAACCAGGAAGACGTGGACTGGAACTGGAACTGGACTGGAAAGGATACGGTATTACCCACAATGGCGAGTGCATCGCTCACCTTCGATTTGCCGACAATATAGTCCTTATGGCATAATCGCTAGAGGACCATGCTCCAAGCCCTATGCTCACTCAGCAGTAAACTTGTGAAGGGATTAAATGATGATGATGACAATCGCCATCTTTACGCCCATTTAGTATAAGACGCCCGAATGTGTTTCGCGGAGGGCAACACCTCAATTTTGGTTTAATACTTGATTTCGGTCTCCATCTAATTCGTGTTTTTTTTTAATTGGACAAACGAGCACACAGTCCACCTGATGGTAAGTGGTTGCTGTGGCCTATAGACATCTACATTTATCCTCGATTAGGAATCAAAATGCAGATGCGTTGTCACCCGTGAGTACTAAGATGGAATGCCTCGGTTTCCAGTAAAAAGGGTCTCCGGTTCTCTACACTCACCATACGAAACACAGCAGCATTAAGCTGCTATTTTACGCTGGTATTCTGTGAGAGCGTGGCCCTTCATTCCTTCCTTCGTGTACTGCGAGCTCGCGGTCTTTATATGAAAATCGATTCTTAAGGAGTAAAGTCCAATAAAGTGAGTTGGAAAAGGACAGTTAAGTGGTTAAATAAAAAACAGAATTCCAGTTTGTATGATCATACGAACTACGTTAAACCACTGTGACACAATGCGCCCAATACAAAAACTTAACCACTAAAACGTGTTATTGTTCCAACTCAAGATTTTTTGCTGTTCTGCTGCCTAGGTCTAGGCATTTTGTGCTGGTGTCATATTTAAAAAAAATATATATGAAAAACACATACGATCATTAGTTAAGACAAAAATTTTACCTGTCTTGGAGTCATCGCCGTTAGATTATTTGATTTCAACATCAAATATCGAAATCTAAATCAGTTTTCGTTTTAACTAGTACTGCACTTAACTTTAACAAATTTGAGTCATAAATTCTGAAGTAACAGTGCCTTGGCAAGCTTCAAAAGGTAATAACCCTTATTACAGAAAGGATGCTCGCAGTGGAGTGGCGCTTGAGTACTTTCGTTCGTTTTGAATATAAAATTATTAAATTTGACCTACGTAATACAGCAGTGTTTTATCTACAACCACTTCTGTGGTTGGTAAGAGAGGCTACGTGGCTTTCCATTTCATACCATTGACATCGGTTTTACAGTAGTTGACACCTCTGATAATAATGTTGTAAGAAATAATAAATAATAAAAAAAATAATGAAAACTTATAGTCAATCACAATTCCTTAAAAGTTTATTTTTATTACTCATAGGATCAAAAAAATTATACAAGCAAATAATAACACATTTTTGGAATTTAATGTGATTATCATATAAATGTCCACATAACTCTTCGTTTTCCTCCTTTCATGGGGAAATGTCTAACCTACAAAAGCCTCTCGGTTCTGTAAGCGACAGCCTTTTCCTCCGAAAACAATAACTCCGTGCTCCTGAACACGAAACGCGATATTCTATTTCCTAATGTTCTACGTACCGCCCAGACCCGCCAGACCAGACCATGGAGAATAAGAGTCTCCATGGTCTACACATGGCAAGCGAGCACTGGGAAAGACATAAAAGCTGGTGTAAACGGAAATAATAATAATTATAACACTCTGACTCTGATTCTGTGTGTCGATTCTAAAACGTCTCAGCTAATAGAGCATATCAGACTTTTTTTAACAGATTTTCTAGTACGTACGTGCGCGACGTGCTTCTAGTCTGGCAACTCACATTGTATGCGAATATTTATTTTGATTTATACATTAATTATTATCTTGTATGCAAAATTTTATGTTTTTAATGATATCATTAGATATGATTTTTATTTATGATATTGATTTTAGATTATGATTAGAGATAGCAATCACATAATCCGAGTCTAAATGCTTTATCCTGTTCTTCTTTATTTAACACTTGGCATTTTAAATTAACTTTTCCTGAGAAGTAACATCCTATCATTGTCCTGCAGACAGATGGTCACAGAACCAAATTGTTTTTAATTTTAATGAGTTTCATTTTACATATATAAAGGATACTTAGCACTGGCCAGAAATCCAGATAAACTACATCCGATAAAAAATGTTAATTGGAAAAATAAACTATAAATATATTGACTTTAAAATTTAAAAATTGTATTATAATAATTTCCACAACAATTAAAGCCCCAAATCATTTTATTCTTTTCAATTTCTGAAGTCGGTCCTTAATTTTTTTTTAAGTTTCAAGGTAACAAGTATAATGTCGTCTACATAGTGACATGAAAAAGCCCCCTATTTTTCCATATTTAGGGGTGAATTTTTTATTTGAAATTATAATATATGGGCTCTGATACACAAAGACGTCCAAATGATATGTAAATTATGATAAAGTAATTAAATGAAAAGAATGCGAAAAAGGACTAATAGCGTTCTAAGTAATACGATTTAACAAGACTTGAAAAAATGAAGAGTTTTAGTAGATATTTTTTACGTGGTAGAGCCATGCTGCAGCTATATTAGTAGTATAGTTGCAGCACGAATGGGTCGGCTCGACCGGGGAAGGACCACGCTCTCACAGAATACCAGCGTAAAATGGCTGCTTAACACTGCTGTGTTTCATATGGGGAGTGTAGAGAACCGGAGTCCCTGTTTACTGGAAACGAGTAATTCCATTTCAGTCCTCAAGGGTGACAATGCATCCGCATTTTGATTCTTTATTGAGGACAAATGTAGATGTCTATGGGCCACACCATCCACTTACCATCAGGTGGACTGTTAATAATGTTAAACTCTAATATTTTTACGTGGTAGAGCTACGCGTACGGTAGAGCTGTGTTATGACTACGGCTCCAATTAGTGTCAGAATATCAGTGTAAAATGATAGTACAATACTTAAGGTGGCACAAGTCGCGGGCTCGAACTCGCTGGTGGGCGCGGCCAAAAAGCACGCTGTCTCACCTGGCATCGTGCCCGACAGAGATAGTATCAGTGATGAGCATATCGACACTAGTATTCACGCACGTCTTGTTCGTACGGCATTCAGAACCGTTTGAACAAAAACGAAGTTACACGAACACGATGCAACATTTATACTAATATAATAAAGCAGAAAATATAGATCTTTACTCCGTCTAAAAAAAAGTCCGCGATACCATATGTCTATTTTTTATATACTCGTATAAGCCACAATTAGGCATTTTTATTTTGACAAAAAAAAAATGAAAATTTAATTATTAGGCATGGCATATTTATCCTTACGAACGAAAGTTACTTCATTATCAAGACAATTTTTTGAAGATAAACTTCGTTGTTTATGCCATGTTTATATAGTACATAGTTGAGATAATGTAAAATTAAAATAATTCAATACTTGGCCTTGACGCGCAAACAACGCATAACCCCTAGCCCGGTGCGAACTGAGAAGCCAGTATTGAAAGCTTCTATGAGCGAGGTTAGGTTAGCCGTTAGTTCAATCATTATCTATATCTACACAAATAAATAAAATTGAAGTGTCTGTTATAATGTCAAAATAACAGCTTTTTACTAATTGCATATGAAATTATATACGCTACTTATAACACAATTTTTAACATTTTTCTGTCTGTCTGTCTGTTTGTTCCGGTTAATTTCCAAAACGGCTGGACCGATTTTGACGGGACTTTCACTAGTAGATAGCTCATGTTATAAGTAGTAACTTAGAATGCTTAAATTTTAGAAAAATTATTAGGCGTCCGTGCAACAAAATTAACACCCTAAACTAAATGCGGACGAAGTCGCGGGGAACAGCTGGTAGCTAAAATAAATTCAAAATTAATTGAGTGCTTTTATCTATCTCCCAGGTGAGCGTAACAATGATTAGTTAATTCTGAACTCTTTCATTTCACGTTGCTATGGTATTTTGAAAGTTTAATTGATTAATAAGTTTTTATTTTATTTATTTCTTTAAAAAAAAAGACGTTACCCCCACACTAGGATTTTCTCGTGTATCGTGGAGGCAGTTTACAAACACAAATTGCACAAGGACAAACATCCAGACCCGGAACAATTATTTGTAGGCCATACAAATACAAATACTTGATCCGTGCGGGATTCGAACCCGCGGCCCCCTGCTCAGCAACTCATTGCTAAGACACTGCGCCACGGAGCCGTATAAGAGTATAAGAGGTTGATAGCAAATGTATCAAGAATCATTTCTTGCCTACACACTTTTCATGTATCGTGTACGTTTTTCTTTAAAACTGAATAAAACCGCGCATAGTATGCCGACAGATAAAATAAAAGTACTTCATTAATTATGACAATTTTTCCATACATTATTATCAAATAAAATATTTGATTGCAATTATAAAACTAGGTGTCATGTCATGCCATGCATCTCGGACACATGATGACGCGGGTGAAACCGCGAAATGATTAGGCGCTGCTTTATCGCTTCATATTATACCTCTGTGGCTCTATATACCTAATATAGATTGCTTATTTTATTATGTTTAGTTTTTCCGAGTGGTTATGCAGCGATCACTCAAGAGTTCGGCTTCGAACGTGTGTAACTGCAAAAATTATCCCACGGGAACGAAATATTTTATATTACTGGGAGCCGCGGGTTCGAATCCCGCACGGAACAAGTATTTGTATGGCCTACAAATAATTCTTCCGGGTCTGGATGTTTGTCCTTGTGCAATTTATGTTTGTAAACTGCCTCCACGATACAGGAGAAACTCCTAGTGTGGGTGTAACGTTTTTTAAATAAGAAAAAAAAAATTTGTATGGCCTACAAATAGTTGTTCCGGGTCTGGATGTTTGTAAACTGCTTCCACTATACAGGAGAAAATGCTAGTGCGGGGGTAATGTATTTTTAAAAAATAAAAAAAAAATAAAATTCCAGACTATAACCTATCTCTGAGCAAAATATCATCCAGGTCCCTTCAGCGGTTCTGGCGTGATTGAAT